ATTATTATTATTATTATTATTATTATTATTATTATTATTATTATTATTATTATTATTATTATTCGGTGGCCTGGAGCACGCTTAGAATGGGAAACCTTTCTAGTTCAAAACAGCTGTTTGGAGCATGGGAGCTTGGCACTCAAATTCTCTAGAACTCAGAACATTTCCAATAAAAACAGAACAATTTTAGGATATTCCTGGTAAGATCGGAGTAATCTGATGTGGGAACATTACAGGCTGAAAATGTTTTGTATCCAGGTTCTGTGTTTTCAAGAGGACTCAGGGTGCCAACATTTGGAAGGTACAAGGGCACCTGTGTTCTCAGGAGGTGGGAGAGCTGATCTGATTCTGGAACCCTTGGGAGATCTCATCCCTGCTTTCTGGGCCCTCTTAGTCCAGAGGACATCAAGCCTCTCCCCTTCTCTCCTCCACCCAGATGAAGACCAGACCTGGTTGCTGCAGCAAGTGAAGTTGGACACCCAGTTCCTCAAAGCTTTGCATGTGATTGATTACAGTTTGCTGGTGGGCGTGCAACCTCTCCATGATGATGACCGGTTCCTGAACGACACGCTGGGAAACATATTAGCCAGGACGAGATTGTGAGAGTTTTGCCCTGGTGGGTGGGTGGGTGGGTGGAGCCTCATGTGTAACACTCTGAATCTTGGCTTATAAATAATAATCAAAACCAAGGTAATCCCATTAGCCTCAACATCATCAGAGGTTTGCAGGATCAGATGGCATGAACATGCTATGGTTGGTTGGCTGGCTGGCTGATGGTTGGATGGTTGGTTGGTTTGATGGATGGATGTTTGGTTGGTTGGTTCACTGCCCGGCTGGCTGGCTGGCCGATGGCTGGTTGGTTGGTTTGATGGAAGAATGGATGGTTGGTTGGTGGATTGGGTGTTTGGCTGGCTGGTTGCCAGTTTGTTGGTTGATGGTTGCATGGCTGCATGGATGGTTCGTTGGTTGGCTGGCTGGATGGTTGCATGGATGGATGGATGATTGGTTGGCTGGCTGGTTGGCTGGCTCATTCATTCTCTATCCTCCAACAACTCAGAATTACTTCATACCTTAACCCAGTGTTTCTTAGCCCTGATATCTGTATGGACATCAGCTCCCAGAATTCGCCATCCAGCATGCTTGAAGATGGGTAGATATCAACTCCTAGAATTCCCCAGTTGTTAAGTTAGTTAGGAACATTGTTGTAAAGCAAATCTGGCTTCCCTGTTGACTTTGCTTGTCAGAAGGTCCCAAAAGGGGGATCACATTACCTCCTGGGATGCTGCACCCATCCTAAATATGAACCAGTTCCCAAGCATCCGAATATTGATCTCGTGATCATGGGGATGCTACCAATGTCGTAATTGTGAAAAACAGTCCTAAGTCACTTTTTTTCAGGGCCAGTGTCACTTCGAATGGCCGTAAGCAAAGGCACCTGGGACACAGGTGCGCCTGACCTTCCTTTTTTTCCCCTCTGCCACCAGGTCAGTCAGCTGTGACTATCCTCGCCGCCGCATTGCCAGAGCTACCTCCAACTCCTCTTGCAGCAGCTCCTCCAGTTCTGACCAGATCCTCCGGCTCTATCCCGATTACTTGCTTTCCTACTTGAAACCCGACCGGCCTCCGGAGCAGTTGATCCGAAGCGAGGGTTTCATGCATAACGTTGTGACGCCATTCCTGATGCAGAGCAGCTGCGAGGACATGAGTTGCACCGTGGGCAGTGCGCTCTGTTCCCCCAGCCTCTCGGATTTATCCGGCGCGTCCTTTGCCGCGCAGCATCGACGGATCCTCCCCACCTCCAAAAACCCTCTACACACAATTGATGGGCCGGACTACCGCTATTACGTAGGCATCATTGACCTCTTCACGGTCTACACTTTCCGCAAAAAACTGGAACACTTGTGGAAGAGCATCCGTTACCGGGGCCAGCAATCTTCCACGGTGGAACCTTCTTACTATGCCCAGAGATTGTGTCAGTGGGTGGAAAGTCACACTATATGAACCGGAACAGAGGCGATGGGCCAGTTTTTAGCTGAAAGTCGGACAGTATCCCTGTCTCTTCTCGTAGGTTCTCCCGGTCCCTGCAGATCAGTATTCATGTTTCAACACCAATCACCTCTTGTGATGGTTCTGATGACCTCTTGGCTACCAGGAGATGGAGCTGCGTGAAATTTCCCTAGAAATAGGCCACTTGGCAAGCAAGGACAGGGGGGAGGCGGTTTTCCACGGAGCATGGAAGTTCTTGAGGACATCTAGGTGGTGGCTTTGCAAAAACCAGATGGACACCTCAACCCCACGGACATTGCAATCAACGGCACTGAATCCCTCAAACTCTGAGAGAACAGCACAGGGGGGAGGATACCACCCAGTCTCCTCCCAAACAAGCCATGTCCTCCTGCAACCGTAATCTGCCAGATCTGTAGAAAAAGAACAGTTGGTGCAGTCCATCTTGGTGCCCTGTAGGCATTGGGTTAATCCAGGCAGGCACGGGGGGGTTAATCAAGAGCTCCTTCCTCAAAGGATTTAAGGTCCCAAATCCACGAGGGGCGAAGAAGGGAGGAGAATTTGGATTGTGAGAAGAATAAAGAGTTTCCAGAGAAAGGACTGGACTGGTTCTTTAAAACCCACCTTGAAAGTTTTCTCAAGGATGGCTTCAGCCTTGGACTTTGATGGCCATTGCTGCCAAATAGCCCCCATAGGACACGGGATTTGGGGATCCACAGTCCAAGGCATCTGAAAAGCTAGGGCTTGTAGTTTAGGGTGCGAAACCCCAGAGGGGCACAAGAGGGCAGCAAAGCAACACAAGAAAGAGATTTCTTTGGTGACCTCCTGTGGTTTTCTTCAGTTTTACCATCCTTGGAAAAATAGGTTAGCCATCATGGAGATAAGCCGGGTGTCGGCAACCCGCAGCTCTGGAGCCGCATGCAGCTCTTTGAGCCCTCTGCTGTGGCTCCCTGTTGGGTGATCCCACCATTGGCTGGCCCTGCCCCTCCCCCCCAGTCACTCCTCACCTGGTAAAACACAAAAAAAAAAACAGAAATGAGAGGGAGGGAGAGACCCATTTCCCACAGAAAACACTGGGAGCCACAAAATCTGAGTGGGCGTGGTGGGGTGGGTGGTCATGTGACTGGGTGGGAGTGGTGTCCAGTTGGCCACGCCCATCCAGGTTTTGAGGCTCCCGGTATTTTCTGTGGTAAACGGGTCCAAATGGCTCTTTGAGTGTTTAAGGTTGCAGATGCTCTGAGCTAAGCCAACAAAATTAAGAGGAATTGCACGGCAGAGCATATGTAATCTGGGTTTACACATCTTGAACCACAAACATATCTACCTGACCCCTGCTTAGTGTCTTGTGTGAACTGGGCCCCTAGGAACGGTGCCTTGAAGTTTGTTTGTTCTTTTTTATAAAAAAGTTTTTTTTTTTTAAATTATTTGAATACATCTTTGAGAGAACAGTGTGGTTCCAGGTCTTTTTACATTTTAAATGCATCATATCCACAATCACAAACCCAGCTTTCTAACATCCCATCACTATCTATTACCAAATTTTCTTCTATATATTCTCATAGATTAACTTTATATCAGTCTCTTTATTTTTAATCACTCTCTATCTTCCTTGATCTTATATTCTTATATTCAACATATTACCGTTTAATATATTCACGTCAATTCATTACTCGTTCAAAATTTCATCTTCATTTCTATTATCTCCTTCCCAATATTATATTTGCCGTTGTTGCATATATTTCTATTTTCTCAATGCTCCCTTCCCTCTCACTTCTCATTTTTGCATAAATATATTTTCCATCTTATTTTTTTTTTTTAGCAGATGCCTTTAAGCTGATGCCCAGCTTTGCTTTCCATCCATGTTTTTTTATTTTTCCACGCTCTGCGGCAGGCTGGCAGTTGCACAAACCCTGGTTTGTCTGTCTCCTGCCCACTCGTCCTTAAATCTGGTCCCAACCTCCTCTCCTCGGCCATGAGAGCTTAACCAACCCTTTCTTCCACGGAAGAAAAGGCCGGCACGCAGAGCGCATTGACAGCCGATTGCCCTGGCGCGCCCTGGCGCCGCGTCTTTTAGCTCGACCTTGCTCGCGGAGAGGAAGGAAGAGGGGGGGAAGTCCAGAGCCGCCTCCCGACTGGCAAAGGGGGGGTGGCGGCGGTGGGTGGGGCGTGGGGAGGGGGTCCGAGGCGGAGCCTGAGCTGCTTTGCAGAGCTCTTAAAGAGGTCGCGGCTGGGCCAGCTGGAGATTAAACGGGCACTCCAGCGCCGGGCGCGTTTGGAGAGGTGGTCCATGCGCGCGCGATGCTTGCGGGTTCCCTTGGCCGAGCTGGTAAGTGGCTGCTTGGCGAGCCGAGGCCCGTCTGCCTGGAGCCGGGGGAAGTCCCCAGGAAGGCGGAGAGGCGCCCTCCGCTCCGACTCCCCCACCAACCTCCCCTTGCCTTATTTCCCTTGGCGCTCGCGGGTCCCTCTGGGGCGCGCGCTCGGCTGGCAAAAGAGGCTGCCCGCCGCGTCCTCTCCACCCCGCGGGGTTCCTTTTGCGCACCCCCCTGGCGCCCTCCTTTCCCTTGGCATCGGGTCCAGCCTTCCCTCCCCGGCGGCTTGCCAGCAGAGGGAAGGAGCCTCTTTTCCCCACTGGCATCCTGCGGAGAGGAAACCCCTTTTCCCCCTCCGCTTTGGCCCTCGGAGGAGTCTCTGGGGCATGTGCAGAGCGTCCTTCTTAGTTCTTCTGCCCGCCTGGCCCTGACTTCTCGCATCCGCGTGGATTCTGGGTGGTTAAGCGGTTAAAAATCCTTGTTAGGTGGATTTTATTTTTATTTTTTGGTTAGGGAAGGGGACAAAATTATTCCTAATTGAAGAGGGATGCTAATCCATGGCTCTTCTCTTAAGAACGTTGTGAAAACAGCACCCTGTGGCTTGCCAGATGTCTTGCAACTCTTAGCATCCTCTGCTGGGAAGAGAAGGGTTTGCTGGGAATCATGGCTTAACCAGCAAAAACGTGGCCTGTTTCCTGGCCCTGAATGAGCAAAGTTGGAATTCCCCCCTTGGCCACCCGACTTCATTAATCTTCAGTTGTGTTGATGTTAAACTAGCATAGTTGTAAGGGGAGGGGGAAAATATGATGGAATAGTTTTGTGTTTTCTCTCACTGTCACCTAGTTACAACAGAGCTGGGGTTGTGATGAAATCTACAGGCAGCTAAGAAAGTTGGTTTTGAACAAAGACTTGCAAAATCAAACACTCTGCCTTTCTTTGTTCTTGCTAATCCATTTACCTATTTGGTTGTGGGTGATAGATCCCTTGGCTAAAACCGATCCATTCTTTTATTGCTTTTTAAAAATATAACAAGGTCCTAACTCTGGCGACTTGGGTGGCACACTGAAATCTTTAATAGCTGAAATTTCATAATATTGTCAATAGTTTCTTCAGATGCCTGTTATGACTCGAGGATACTGATCTGTTAAGATCTCAGCTGAATGCATGGATAAGTCATCCCAAAGGGTGCTTTATCCTTGGACTTTCTTGTTGTTTTTTTCCCATTAAATAAATCCTTCGGTTTCCTCACCTGTCAGTTAGAGGTGAGGAAGCTTCTTGGATGAGAAGCGAAATGTTTTCAAAGAGAAAACAAAAAAACCAGGAAAGTCCAGTTGTCTTTTAGAAAACAGCAGTTTTGGGACAAGCAACACCTGGATGAGTGAGCATCTCTGTAAACAATGGAGAAGTCACCTCTGGAATCGCTCACCTGTTTGTCTCTTTGTAGGGCTGTTGTCCCAGAAATCCAAGCCAGATACATGGCTGAAAACTCCTTAAAGGATGCAAGTGCTTGTAAGTATCCAATGGCTCTGAAATTTCCAGAGATCTGCAGGGCCCGTTATTCTATAATGCCTTGTTAAGACCACACTTGGAATATTGCATGTAGTTTTGGTCACCACATAATTTTTAAAAAAATGCTAAGACTCTAGAAAGAGTGCAGAGAAGAGCAACAAAGAGGATTAGGGGACTGGAGGCTAAAACATATGAAGAACAGTTGCAAGAATTGGGTAGGGCTAGTTAGAACCATTGACCAGTGGAACAACTTGCCTCCAGAAGTCGTAAATGCTCCAACATTGGAAGTTTTTAAGAAGAGGTTGGATAACCATTTGTCTGAAGTGGTGTAGGGTTTTCTGCCGAAGCAGCGGGTTGGACTAGACAACCTCCAAGGTCCTCTTCCAGCTCTGTTATTCTAGTCTAGTCTAATAGAAGGATTAGGGGAGACATGATAGCAGTATGCCAATATCTCAGGGGGCTGCCTCAAAGAAGAGGGAGTCAAGCTATTCTCCAAAGCACCAGAGGGCAGGACAAGAAGCAATGGGTGGAAACTAATCAAGGAGAGAAGCAACCTGGAACTAAGGAGGAATTTCCTAATAGTGAGAACAATTAACAATTGGAACAGCTTGCCTCCAGAAATTGCAAACGCTCCATCACTAAGGTTTTGAAGAAGAGATTAGACAACCATTTGTCTGAAACGTTACAGGGTTTCCCGCCTGAGCAGGGGGATAGACTAGAAGACCTCCAAGGGCCCTTCCAGCTCTTATTATTCTGTTATCTCTGTTCAGCTGAATCCTGCGTCTGGGTATCCATACGTTTTATCGACACATCTTCTCTCTTGCAGTCCCGCCTGTTCTTCACTCTCGTTGTGTTGTGTGTCAGCGGCATCCTTTACTTCCTGCTGTGCCCACGCCTTTGTAGTTCCCTGTGTTGGCTCAGCTGCCAGCCTAAAGAAAGGAAGGAGGACAGGTTGGCACAGCGTTTTAAAACTGCCCACTTCGAGGGCTACATCAGCGTTCCAGATGGAAAGGTGAGCACAGCCTCAAGATTAGGAACAAAGGCAGTTTGGATGCAACATGGGCTAGGAAGCCCTTGCAACCAAACTCGAGGAACCCCCCCAAAAAACCCAAGATAAATACATTTTGAAATGGCCCTTCATTGCTAATTTTCTCCTGGCAAGATAGGAGATCCATAGGGGAGCAGTTTAAATATGAGACTGCCACACAGATGCATAAGAAAAGCTTTTTGATAACACAGGGGCTCTTATCTGGGTATTAATGCAACCGTTCAGCTACACAAATAGGTGGCCTGAAAAGGCTGTGTGGTGGAGTGCTTGATGTGGCATGTCAGCCAATCACAATAAAGCCTTTTTGGCAACATCCAGCCAGAAAAAAAAAAAAGTGATGTTCATTGATTATGGTGCTTAATTTCGGCAACTTCAAGATGTGTGGACTTCAACTCCCAGAATTCCCCAGCCAGGGGAATTGTGGGAGCTGAAATCATTCCATCCATCCATCCAATCTTTATATATTTTGTTCCTCTTTCATTATTTTCTTTCTTCTCTTTTTCAATATTAGAAGTAATCCTTTGTTCCCTCTTTCTTTCCTTCCTTCCTTCCTACAAAATTTGAAGTTCATTGGTTATAGCGGCATTGCTTGTATCTTTACAATTTATATTGTTTTATTTGTTCCCTATATGATTTGATTTGCTTATTAGTAACATGTCTATCGCTAAGTATTGTATCTTATGATTCTTGATGAATGTATCTTTTTCTTTTTATGTACACTGAGAGCATATGCACCAAAGAAAAATTCCTCATGTGTCTAATCACACTTGGCCAATAATTCTATTCTATCCTATCCTATCCTATCCTATCCTATCCTATCCTATCCTATCCTATTCCTATTCCTATTCCTATTCCTATTCCATCCCATTCCTATTCCTATTCCATTGCATTCCTATTCCATTGCATTTCTATTCTATTCTATTCCTATTCCTATTCCATTCCATTCCATTCTTTCTCTGTTCTATTCTATTCTATTCTATTCTATTCTATTCTATTCTATTCTATTCTATTCTATTCTATTCTATTC